GTGGATTTCCTTTTTTCATCTTATTCACGTGCTCCTGATATTGAAGTTCTGTTTATTTCACTCCACAATTCCACAAATTTCATTAATAATTTCTAAGAGATAAATCAATGTTACCATATTGGTAAACTTCTAAGAGACATCAACTGAATGCATTCAGTAAAGTAAATGAACAGGAATGCTTCGGCCCATCAAGCCACACAAATTTCTGTTCATTACCACTACAGTACGTTTTTGAAAGAATGCTTTGTCATTCACTGTTTTTCCTCGTATTCACTGGATCAACAAAAGCGCTTAATACTGTCTCAATCTACAAATCCTGCCTGCAAAGTAACATCTGAGCTTCTCTCCAACCCCACTATAAAGGTACTCTAGGGACAAGCTGTATTTCAGCCTTTTCCCAAACCGTCGCAAAAAATCAAGAGCACTGTTGCTCCTCATTCTCACTGTATAAAATGAAAAAAAAAAAACATACCCGTTCAGCGATTCGTGGATTAAATCGAAATGCGATATCACTACTGGAATGGAAATCCACCATGAACTGCTTAGCTCGCTTTTTGGTAACTGCCGATATGTAGAGTTTTCGGCCAGGGTAAAAGTTGCCGGGAATATCAGCTGCGTAGGGTATTTGCTGCAAACCCATATTTGATTAAGACTTTGCGTAGAGCTACTTGAGAAGAACTTCAGTAGCAACGCACCAGGATTGCCGATGGTTGATCATGCGTTTTTTCGTGATTCCAGCCTGTAGCAAATGCGTTACTGGGGTGTGAATGTGCTGCTGCAATTTAAAAATGTCTGTACGCAAGGCAGAGAGGAGGATGCGGATAGGCGTAGAAATCATCAGTACAGCTTCTTACTAGACATGTAGAAAGAATAAACCTCTTAAGTGGCGAGAGCGCAATGAAAAATGATTTTAATGGAAAAAGAAGCCTTGGAATGAATGAGGAAAGAAGAGAACGGAATAAGAGTTCGCATGCAAAAAATTATGCAGAAGACACTTACATAGTATTTGCCTTCCCATGAAACGGAGTAGAGCTCAGCATCACCATTTATGTAGATATGTGTGATATTTGAGATTGGTACATAATATGCGAATTTCGCGACTAATTTGTGATCAATAAATATCTGAAATGTTGCACTGCACATGAATTTACAATGAAGGACAATTTAATAAAAACGATAAAAGTCAAAAGAGTAACGAAGAATTCGAAATTATTGCGCAAAGCTTTCTCTCCCTCTCTCTCTTTCACGCTTTTTTCTGTGGAGTACAAATCAAAATTAGAATTCTCTGAATATTTTCACTTTCTGTTTTAGATACAGCGGCGTTGAGAAAAGCAATCAACTATTAGCAAAACCACTGAAAAAACATTGTGCAGTAAAAATAATTAGATGACCTCGAAAAACTTGTCGTGGCATCTGATTCGTATGTCGAATTCGTCGCCAGGAGCCCATTTATGTTTCACCGAACCTTCCCTGCAAAGAAAACCACTGTTTTGCTTGCTTCAACCATCCCAGATACCTCCACAGGGAAAAGTTCGCCCCCATGTTCCGGACAGTGTACTTTTAAGAAGCTGAAATATTCTAAAACTGAGGCTGGAAAAAGAGGGGATTGATTCGGGACCTTCCCCATTCGCCGCCGATGCATGCGTTCAGATAAATCCGTCGCTGGCTGATGCTGGCTCGAATGACGAGCAGTCGATTGTCCAGAGTATCGTTCTCTTCCTCCTTCTCAACTCGCGGCCCGTTAGTCAGATTGATTATGAACTCATTGCGACCTGTAAATGTCAGTCTCAATTACCTCTACAGCACTGTGAATCAGTATTTCCTGCCAATCATTAATACTGTTTAGCGTCACTTTGTTACAAAGATGAAAAATCAGCATGTTGGCCTCTGCGATATTAGGTTGTCCGAAAGAGAAATGTGCAGATGGCAGAAAAGAAAAGAGTGGCTAAGCTGCGGTCAACTGGCATCGAATCAGCCTGATTTTTGGTACTTTCTAGAAGGATTCCTCGAGCAACTCTACCAGCCTTGTCAGCAGTTGTTGCTTTTGACATTTGCTACTACTTGGGCTACTTCCCAAGTGCATTCGTCTCCCACGGGGAACAATACGGAAACAGGGGGGAGGGGTTTGACTAAGTGGTTTTTTCCAGTGCATCAGTAAGCCCTGGCTGCACTGGATAAAAACGCTATGAGAAACCCGCATTCGCAGAAATTCTGGACATTTCCTTCGCTGATTTTTACAATTATGTTACACTACACTTTAGAATTCGAACGGTGGTGCAGCAACAACGAACCAATGATGTATCCTCGCACAATGAGAGATTGTCCTGGCTGCAGTTGGCTACCCTCAAGTTTCGACAGATACGGTACTGACTGCAATCACAGAAATTATTTTCATCGTGTATCAGTCGCCACCAATACATACACACGCACACACACACAAACACACATATATAGAAAAACAGGAACTTACGGTACTGAACACTTCGAACTTGATGGTACCCCAAGCTCATATCCATCTGGGAAGCGAGTAGTTTGAAGGGGACCTTGAAAACGCGGGGGAAGGGGCGGGCGAGAGGGGAGAGGAAGGAGAAGAAGGAGAAGTTGAACATTCTTGTTTCTCCATATTCTAATCACTGTCCAGTTTTTGACGGAGGAGTGGGAGCGCTCGAACAGGAAACGAAAAATTTTATACCCGTTCATTGCAAGTGGCTTCCTCTAAGCAAACCGGGGTCCTTAAATGTCCAAGCTCGACAAGTTTCAAAAAGCTTTAGCTGTTTTATGGGAAAGTGATGGGACGGAATATTTCAGCCCGAATTTTTTTGTCCCCTATCCTAATGCTTTTTCGGCAAGAAAACATCTGGAGGGGAATTTCCCCCATCTAAATTCATGCTGTCGGCCGATGAAATTGAGGCGTTACCTGGCGAAATAAGCCAGTGTACTTTTGCGCAACACATCACAATGAACAATGAATCTGCTACAACTGTCCGGGCATCTCCTGTAGCACGAAGATGGTGAAAATGGTAAGTGAATAACTCACGAAGCTCTGATTCCTTCCAGTAATCG